ACAGCAGATAAAACCGAGCACAAAGGTCTACCGGAAACCAATTTTCATCTTTCTTAGTTATTGTACAATCTTTTACCCACGTTTTTCTTCGGGAACATGATGAAAAGAAGTGAATTGTTTAACACATAATGAGTACGCGCGAGCAGGAATTAAGGGTACATGAGAAAAACTAAACAAGAAGTTCATCAGAGCGACTTGGCGCCAAACTCACGTTTGTAATTCACCCTCAAGTCTATTTCTGTCGCATGTGGCGGGAGAATTATAATTAAGTGTTCTTTTCAATAATTATGCAAGGAATTTCGCTTTTTCGCAATATTTTTGAGAAAAAGAAGCGCTCTACGTAGAATTTAGGCATGTCAGCCATCTTGAATTTCTATTGGTTTGCACACAGCACGAACAGCATAAGCATACATAGAAACAAGCGCCATCTTTATTTATTTTTGACAGGAGCGTGGAATATAGATGAAAATTATATGCATAGTGTAAATCGGTATGGCGATCACGAATATCGCACTTTTAAGCCTTAATTTCCTCCGTGTCATGGACCTCTTCCAGCCATATGAATCTCCAAAACATTTTGGAATTTTTTCGACGATATCACGAAAAAGCCCCAACCTTTCACTATATATTCGATAAAAAATTCAAGGTTCGCCACTGGTTTATATAGGCCAAAGTTTTTTTGTTTTTCGAAGAGTGATTTACTAGAAGATCTTTGGAAAGCCAGTTCGTATCTCTCAAAACTAAAATAACAACCTATCGATTTTTTTTATTGGTACATGGTCCAAAGTGTCTTCTACAAAACTGGATCTAAGCGACCTCTTAATCTTTCCTGTTTAGGTGTGGCATCGGATTTGCTGACAGCACAAGGTTCAATATCTCTTTAGATGTGGTAACCTCGAAAACGGATGGATACATAGCTAATCTTACTCGACATAGCTTATTAAACATAGCTAATTTTATTCGACAGTTAATTTCAGTTTTACAAAAAAACTTTTCATTGAACTGTCTAGTGCATTATGATCGATTGTTATCCTTTTTACTGCGATGTCGAAGTATGATGATCACGAGCGGCCAATTCCAAAAGATAGAGTGGTTCTGGATACTTGTTCGAATATATGTGCAAATAATATATTCTTTCCGAGTCTATTGAATCAGCCCGTATTTTAAATTTTGCTAATAATTTTCCATTTGTATCAAAGAAGTTCGATGTGCGTAGTTCTGGTTTAGTTTGCATTGTTAAGACATTATTATCCCAATAAATATCAAATCCACTGCCAGATAATTGTGAATTTACTTTAATTTGTCCATCAACCCATTGATTTGTTTCAGGATTCAAAATTGAAATGGATCCCAAATATGTCGTTGGTTTTATGACAGCTGAGTATGTAGCGACTACTTGTTGTGATGGATAAGTAATGACTTTAGTATCTAGCAAGCCGGTAATGCTGGATTTGACACGATAAAGAAGATTTTTTCCGCTTTCATCATAGACTTTATATACATATGCTGTGGATTCATCAACGGCTTTGCGGATATAAAAGCTCTTAATAGCGTC